ACAGCTCTTGCCGTCTGTGCCTCACGTCCACACGGATGATAACGAACCCCTCATGGGGCTGTTGGGATGACGAGGTGAGACGGCATCTGTCAGCTCTTACAGAGACGCAGGCGGACAGTGCGGCCCCGCAGCCCTCGCCGTTTGCTGCCCAGGCAGCGTGGGCGACTGCCACTTCTCCCGCATCCTGTGCTGTGGTTGACTTGTCCTTCTGCCTGCTGGGCTAAGAGCTTCATGAGTGGGGTCTGTCGTTTTCCTTCGCCGTCCTGAGTACCCAGCATTAGGATCTGATGAATGAAGATGCAAGTGTGTGTACCTTCCCCATGGAGAGCATTCCTGCGAGGATGTCTGGGATTGTCACCAACACTACGGCTAGGACTGCGGGACAGTTCGGGCCAGGGAAGGGAGCGGTGGCTATGACTCTGCACCCTCCGGTGAAGCCGTGATGCCCCGCCCCGCCCTGCTCTGCTCTGTGCTGCCGTCTGGGGAGTGTGCTTTTGCTTTTGGACTCGGTGGGGTAAAGTCGTGGAATTCCTCTCCCTCCACCCGTCCTGAGCTGGGAGCCCCTCCTCATGTGAGGGCTCCCTGTCTGGGGGAGTCCCTGCTCACCACTTCTAGAGGGACTCCCTGGCCCGTCTTTGCCGGATCCTGTCCCACCACCTCCCTGTTGAACCACTCCCCTCTCGGCACACACTGATCCTGCTCCTCCAAGATGCTGGAGCAGAGGCGAGTCAGCCGACGGGAGGGCATCCAGCGCAGGAGATAGGTTGCTCAAGACCTGCCCCACCTGCAGGGACCATGGTGTGGCAGAGAGTAGCAGGGGCAATGGAGATGGGGAGCTGGAGCAGGACAGGAGGGCAGTGGGGGCTCAGGCAGTGGTTCCAGAACCGTCAAGTATGTAGCACTGGCTGGGCTAGAGAGGCAGTGGGGGCCAGAGGCAAAGGGCCTTCAATGCCAGGCCAGGAAGCCGGACTTCATCCCAGAGGCAGGGAAGGTTTTAAGCAAGGAATACCCTGGTCCTGCCCAGTGCCTTTCAAGGGACAAGGGAGGTTGGTACAGCATGCCTTCTGTCCCCAGGTATCCTGCGCCTGGGCTAGCGAGGCATGCTTTCCCCACCGGGGTTCCCTCAGTTGCTCCTGGGGTGCCCCTGAGTCAGCTTCATGCCTGTGGGGGTGGTTGGTCAGCATGGCAGTCTTTGAGGCCCCTCGGTCCCCAGGCCGGGCTGGCACCAGTCAGTCCTCACAGGGAGGCTCCTGGAGGTGCTGTCTGGTGGGGTGTTGGATGCGCTGGCAGTGGGTAAGCCCTGGCCGTCTTCCTGCTGTTCCAGGAATCAGCCTCCTCATCCCCCCAGACGCCATACCCCGAGGGAAGATCTACGAGATCTACCTCACGCTGCACAAGCCGGAAGACGTGAGGTGTGACCGCGGGCCCCATTGCCCGGGGTGGGAGGGACCCACCTGCCGCCTTCAGTCCCCAGGAAGCCCCCTGCCCACCCACTGTTGTGCCTGGCCTGAGGCAGCGGGGGGAGAGCTGCGCCTAAGCCCCATCTGGTTCTGCAACCCAAGCCCCTGGGCCCTGGGATGCTGCCGCCCTGCCCTTGGCCTAGCCCTCAGGACCCAGGATGGGCCACTGACACCTTTCCCTCCCACCCATATTCCCCCACTTGAGGTTGCCCCTAGCTGGCTGTCAGACCCTGCTGAGTCCCATCGTTAGCTGCGGACCCCCCGGCGTCCTGCTCACCCGGCCAGTCATCCTGGCTATGGACCACTGTGGGGAGCCCAGCCCCGACAGCTGGAGCCTGCGCCTCAAAAAGCAGTCGTGCGAGGGCAGCTGGGAGGTGAGCAGGGAACCGACCCGGGCTCCGGAAGGGAACGTGGGCTAACTGCACGCTCGGCCCAGCCCTCCACCGCTAGTTGGCCCTGAGCCGCACCCCCACCCCTCCCCAGTCTCCGGCCACTTCTTGAAGCCACAGCTGGCCCCAGGGCTCTGAAGCTGGGCAGAACTGACCTGCTGACCCCTGCCCGCAGGATGTGCTGCACCTGGGCGAGGAGGCGCCCTCCCACCTCTACTACTGCCAGCTGGAGGCCAGTGCCTGCTACGTCTTCACTGAGCAGCTGGGCCGCTTCGCCCTGGTGGGAGAGGCCCTCAGCGTGGCTGCCGCCAAGCGCCTCAAGCTGCTTCTGTTTGCCCCGGTGGCCTGCACCTCCCTCGAGTACAACATCCGGGTCTACTGCCTGCATGACACCCATGACGCACTCAAGGTATCGCCCGCCCCTCACCCCCACCCCCTGCCGCTGGGAGGCCCAGCTATGCCTGGCCCTGTGGACTGATTGCCTGGGGCAGTGGGGAGGGGCCTCGGCTGACCACCCGGGGCCCTGCAGGAGGTGGTGCAGCTGGAGAAGCAGCTGGGGGGACAGCTGATCCAGGAGCCTCGGGTCCTGCACTTCAAGGACAGTTACCACAACCTGCGCCTGTCCATCCACGACGTGCCCAGCTCCCTGTGGCAGAGCAAGCTCCTCGTCAGCTACCAGGTGAGGGCCAGGGCCATGGCCAGCGCACAGAGGGCCTGGAGCTTGGGCTCACCTGACACCTCCTCTCTGCACCCCCATCAGGAGATCCCCTTTTATCACATCTGGAACGGCACGCAGCAGTACCTGCACTGCACCTTCACCCTGGAGCGCGTCAGCCCCAGCACTAGCGACCTGGCCTGCAAGCTGTGGGTGTGGCAGGTGGAGGGCGATGGGCAGAGCTTCAACATCAACTTCAACATCACCAAGGTGGACGGCAGGGGCTGCAGCACCGCCGTGACATGCTCCCACTACCAACTCCCTACCAGCCCCCAAAACGCTCCTGCCCTGCCTGCCCTGCCACCCACTCTCCCTCCCACCTGTCCCCAGGCCCACCTCCTCCCAGAAAGCCCTTGGTAGCTTCCTCCCAGACTCAGAGAGAGGGAGGCGCAGGTGCAAATGGGACTTGGGGAGGGGAATGCAGGGGACATGAGAGCAGCAGGAGGGGAGACCCTGGAGGGCTTCCCTGAGGAGGGGCTTTGTACTGGGCCCCAAAGAATGAGCCATTTGGCTGCAGCATTAAGGGGAAGAGCATTTCTGGCAGTGATAGCTGGGCAGGGAGGACTCAGGCCATGAAAAGAGCTGTGCGTGTTGAGTGTCAGCAGAGGCTGGGCAGGGTGACTTGGAGGGGAGAAGGGCAGAGAGGGAGGGAGGCCACAGAGGGCTCCTCTGCTCACTGGCTTTGTGGCTTTGGGCAGGTCACTGCACCTCTAAGCTCCAGTAAGCAGGGCCTTGGCACATGGGAGGTGCCCAGGATGTACCAGTGCTCATGCCACCCCCATGCTCTGGGGAGTCTGGGAGCTCCCCCAGCAGGAGGTGGCAGTGGGCCCAGGCTTGGGGAAAGTTCTAACAGGCACCTCTGTCCCTCCCACCTCCAGGACACAAGGTTTGCTGAGTTGCTGGCTCTGGAGAGTGAAGGGGGGGTCCCAGCCCTGGTGGGCCCCAGTGCCTTCAAGATCCCCTTCCTCATTCGGCAGAAGATCATTTCCAGCCTGGACCCACCCTGTAACCGGGGTGCCGACTGGCGGACTCTGGCCCAGAAACTCCACCTGGACAGGTGGGTGGGAGAGGGGCAGAGAGGGCCTGCGCAGGCCACTGACAGTCCTGCCTAGGTGGGGGGTGGCGTGGACAGGAGGCCCTGTGGGGCCTGTGCCGTATCTACTAGTGGCCAGGGCACTCATTGTGTTTGGCTTGGAGGGGGCCCTGCACTGGGGTGGGCCAGGGGGCCAGGAGGTGTCGGCTGGGGCCAGGCCAGGCTGCTGACGGCCCCTTCCCCTCCACAGCCATCTCAGCTTCTTTGCCTCCAAGCCCAGCCCCACAGCCATGATCCTCAACCTGTGGGAGGCGCGGCACTTCCCCAACGGCAACCTCAGCCAGCTGGCTGCAGCAGTAGCCGGACTGGGCCAGCCAGACGCTGGCCTCTTCACAGTGTCGGAGGCCGAGTGCTGAGGCCGGCCAGGCCCAACGCCTACACTCTCACCAGCTTTGGCACCCACCAAGGACAGGCAGAAGCCGGACAGGGGCCCTTCCCCACCCCGGGGAGAGCTGCTCGGACAGGCCCCCTCCCGGCCAAAGTTGTCCCTTAATGCTGGTCCTTCAGACCCTGCCCGAACTCCCACCTCTCCATGGCCTGCCTAGCCAGGCTGGCACTGCCACCTGCTCACACTCGGCCCCAGGGCCCAGGATGGACAGTGCCTGGAGCCTGAGCCAGGCCCAGCCCATCTGTGTGTGTGTGTATGTGCGTGTGATGCTACCTCTCCTCCCGTCCCTCTCCAGGGGCCCCGCATACACACGGCCATGCACGCACACACTGGGCCTGGGCCAGGACCCCGGAGCTCCTGCCTGAGCTGGACCTTATGCAAACATTTCTGTGCCTGCTGGGTAGGGGCACGTCTGAGGGGCCCTGCTCCAAGCCTGCAGGACCGAGGGCCACAGCCGGACAGGGGTTAGCCTCTGGATTCAGGCACATGACCACCACACGAGTACGTGCCACACATGCCTCGTGTGCTCATCTCACACACACCCCCCTCCCGGGTCATGCAGACACCCCCCACCACACACATCTCATGCTGTACACCTGAGGCTGCTCACGTCTCACGCCCAGTGTCGGTGCATATTTGCCTCTCACGTGCTGCCCTCTCTCCACCCACCCAGGGACACCCCACGGCTCCTCCCTGCCCCTGCCCCTCCCCCAGCCTCGAGGTGCCCTGCCCGGCGGGGCCTGTGAATATGCAATGGGAGTCCCGGGCTGTACAGTGGCGAGTGTGTGTGGCGTGGTGTGCCCGTCCCCAGGGCTGGCTGGTGCCCCACGCGGGGCCTGTCATGTGAAGCTCGTGTCCTGACTTTGTCTTAAGTGCATTCACGCACTTACACTTGGCCTTATGTACACAGCCTTGCCCGGCCGCCGGGGCGCATAGGGATTTTATTGGACGTGAATGTAAATAAATTATATATATATATTGCTAACCTGAGTGCTACTTCTCTCGGGGAAAGCCAGGGAGAAAGGCCAAATGGCCGCAGAGGGGTCACACATGGGATGTCCCGGGAATCCTGGGTGGCTGGGCCTGGCTGGGAAACAGGCAGACCCCGACCCAGGTCCAGCAAGGCTGCAGTGGAGCCTCCTCAGCCTGGAGATTTCCTCAGACACGAGTCAACTGTGCAAGACGGCAGGCAACAGCGGTGACCAGGGCTGCACCTTTGCCGGACCCATCCTCTGACTGCAGGAACGTGACCACACAGCGAGGGGCCAGCTCCCGCACCGTGGCTGCCACCAGGCTGGAGAAGCTGTGAGAGGAGGACTGAGGTGAGCTCAGGCCACCAGCCCCACCTAGCCACACCTCCCTCCCCAGCCCGCACACCCAGACTCACTGCGGGTGCAGCTTGTAGAGCGTTCCATCCACCCCCACAGACACTGCCAGCTCTTCCAGGCCCCGGTTCTCCCGGATCTTCTCCACCACAGCAGCTACACCCGCCCCACAGAGCTGGGCAGCCCGCTGGGACACGGCCTGGCACACCTCTAGCACCATCAGGGCATCATCTGAGGTCAGGGGCAGCCCCAGATCCTCTAGGATGGCTCGGACCTGCCGCAGGGCCAGGCTGTCGCTGGGGGCCAGGAAGGAAGAGAGCACAGAGAGGCGGGTCATGACTTCTCCCACGTCATCCTCCAGAGCGGACCTCGCCACCACCCATGGCCAGCAATCCCCCACAGTGGACAGAAATACTCCCTGAAGTAGGGGAGGCAGTGTAGGCCTCAGGCACCTTTCGATCTCAGAGAGGAACTTGGTCTTGAAGATGTCCCTGGTCTGAAGGCGCTGGGTCTGCTGGCCCCGGAAGAGAACGCCAAGGCTGGTTAAATGTAAAAGGACGTGGCGGACGATCTCCCCCAGGTACATGCCGCTGATCATCTTTTCAAACCTGCACGAACGTGTGTGTGCTCACAGGGCAGAAGGCCCCCCCGGCCACAGTCCCCAGCACCGGTCACGACCAGCCACCACTGCCTGGGCCCAGCCCACACCTCTGCTTGCCGGGGTTGATGGACGCCTGGTCCACACTTGCATCAAAGCAGGTGCTGAGCATAGCCAGAGAGCCATCGTCCCCAAAGGCACCCCACTCCATGTTGATGCACATGCGGCCTGAGTCCCCAGGCACGCCTGCCACATTCCTGAGCTCCTCCATGTAGCAGGCATTGGTGCCGGTTCCTGCAGAGAGGCCAGATAACGTGGAAGCTACTTATTGATGCGGACAAGGACCCTCTGAGCACTTCCTATACTGAGATGGCAACATTCGGGCTCATTCTCTCTACCTCTCCGTCTCCTCATGCTCACAGCCTGTCCCTAGTCCTGGTCCTCCTTCCTCCCAGACATCCCTCGTGCAGACCCTGCCAGTTCCAAGCCCTGGGGACCTTCACTGCCTTTCCCACCAACATCACCATCAGTGCATCCACCATGCCACCCCCAAGTGCTCCTACAATGCCCAGCTGTCCTGTCATTCCCCTGGGAGACATGTGACATCCCCCGTCCTCGTCCCCAGCTCTCTGCGGTTGAGAGGCCGAAGCTCCCTGGACTGGCCTGCCAGGCCCTTATTCCAACTAAGAGGTGCTGGACCAGGAACAGGGGACACAGAGAAATCAGAGATGAGGAGCCCCACAGTCTGGCCAGAGGTCAGGCAACGAATAGCCAGCTCTGATGGAGCCTCTGTGTCCCTGTGAAAGCACCAAGGAGAGCATCGTGGGAGCCCAGACCACGGGGCAAGTCTCTGCCAACAGGGTCAGGAAAGCAACAGAGAGGAAGTGACCGAACCCAAGAAGCACAGAAAGGAAAAGGCATTCCGGGCAGAGGGCGCACCCTGAATGAGGGCGTCTCCCTCCTCTCCCTGACACAGCTTCAGCTCCGGGCAGGTGGGCTCCTTGCTGGCCCCACCTGGAGTTCCTCTGTCCAGCTGTTTATGCCCACAGCAACCTGGGCATGCCTCTCCTAAGTGCCTAACTGTGCGCTGCTGCCCACGTGTAGAATCGAGTCACTCTGACCACCGCGTGTTGTTCTGGGCTTAACCCTTGCTGAGTGGTCAGCTCTGAGAAGGCAGAAATTGCCTCTTGTTTTATGTGTCTTCCTGTTCCTCTGTCCAGTCAGTCCCCTGTGGACACAGGGCAGGAGCTCAGTAAGGATGGAATCTTGGACTGTCTCAAGGACCTTCACTGCTCATTGCTTCCCTGCCCCCGCCCAGCTCCAAACACCAGGTGTGTGCTGTGAGCCAGGGACCATGCTATATTTTGTCCCCTCCCATTTCATCCTCATGATGCCTTGAGACAGGCATTGTTATTCTTATCTCTGTCTTAGAGATGAGGAAACTGAGGCTCTGGTGACTTGCCCAAGGTCACACAGGTGGAAACACAAAGCTAGTATTTCCACCCAAATCTGTACAACTCCAAAGCTCAGATTCATTTATCAGATGGCAAACTGAAGTTCAGAGAGCTTAAATGACCATGAGTCAGTCACTGAGCTGGACTAAACACCCAAGCTCCAGACTGCCAGCCCGAGATTGTTCCAGAGCCCCACTGGGTCAGACCAGAGCAATCCTACATCCCCAATGCCAAGGAAACATCCAAGCGGAGGAATCCACAGAAGGCAGCAAATTGCCAAGCAGTAGGGGCATGAAAGGGCAGGGCCCTCCTCACCGACAATGAGGCCTATCTCGCAACGGGGGTCCTCATAGCCACAGGACATCATGGTCCCCACCGTGTCATTGACAATGGCAACCACATTCAGCTCCACTGCCTGCACACAAAAGGATGCTGCTAGTTGCTGGGCAACGCGGTCGTCACAGCAACCAGCACCGGACCCAGAGGTCTCTACCGCAGAGGGCTCCCCGCTCAGAAACCAGGAGACTCTTTGCTCCCCTCAAGGGCTGCCACAGCCCCAAAGCACCCCTAGAACAGTCTCCTACCTGTCTGCGTGCGATGGCTTCCCGCAACAGATTCACGACATCTTGGCCCTCACAGTCTGATGCATTAAAACCCTTGGTCCAGTTCAGGAGGATGCCCTGGGGTGAGAACAAGAGGAAGTGGCGGGAAGCTGGAGGCCCCTTCAGGCTCACTCTGCCTCCGCAAAGCCTGCATCCATCACAAGCCTAAGATTTCCACCCTCCCCAAGCACAATTCCTTGCCTACTTTGCTGTATGGTTGAAGGCCTTGCCCTCTGCCCGCTCCCTACTCCCCAGGAGGCTTTCGGTGTTCAAAAACCTATTAATAACCATCTAACCTACATTTTCCATTATTAGTTCCAGACGGTCAGAGGGTCTGGCCATTTTAAGACGTTTGCCCAGAAGGAATGGCCCTTTGTAATTGGGTTAGGAATGAACAGAGCTGGTAAAGTGAGTGCTGTGTGTGAAACAGGAGGACAGAGAAGGCTCAGAGGCCCAGATGACAGCAGATCCCACCCTTTCAGAAAGAACTCCAAGTTACTCGAGAGGAAGGAATTCTCAGCTTCAAGGATAGAGCTGTGTCAATGGGTGAGTCACTCGAGTGTTCCAAACACAAGGGGAGGAGGAATGGAAAAGCCAGAACCTAGGCCCTGGGCAGGCTGAAGGCAGAGTTCCTGGATTGTGAGAAAAGGGACTTAGAACTTAGTGACACGGGGCTCGACGGTACCTGGAAAGGAGTGCTGTTTTCTGAGTGTGCGTCCTGTGAGGGAGGGGGCAGGGGGAGCAGGAATTAGTCTACAGCTGTTGGGAGAAAATTACTGCTTTGCTCAGAGGAGGAGCATGGAGGGTAGGTCAGGAAATCCTTGGGGCAGAAGATTTTAGAAATAGTAACCAACATTTTCCTCCAATAATATGTCCTTTTATTCCTTTTTTTAAATTGTTATAGGCTCATTGTCTCAAAAACAGAAAGCAGAGAATGTGATAGAATGAGAGAAAGAATGTTTGAGAGAAAGAAGCCGTTTGAGAGAGACCAGATGATGAGTAATAGCCCCTGTGTGGGCTGCTACCCCTAGAATGCAGAAGGGTAGGCAAAGGGGGACGTCAGAGCCAGGTTGCTGATGGCTTCCTGAGACAGGTGTCCTATGCCCTCCCCGCTGGGCTGAACTCCTGCTCAGAAGGGATCTGAGAAATCTGAGAACAGAAAAGGCCCCTGCCCTCCTTCCCCAGGTAATGCCCAGGAAGGTGTCGAGACTCAAGAGAGAACGTGGCAGAGGGAAGTGCCCAGAGAGCAGGGCCCGGGGCACCTCCCTGTGTCCCTACATCCCTGCAAATTCTGCACAGCAAAGGCTGCTGCAGAGCCAAGGGGGCTCCTGGGGAAGGCAATCCCCACACGGGTCAAGTTTTCACCCCTGAGAAGAATGTGGGCCCAACATTTGTTTTTATTTTAGACGGTGTCTTGCTCTGTCGCCCAGGCTGGAGTGCAATGGCACAATCTCAGCTCACTGCAAGCTCTGCCACCCGGGTTGAAGTGATTCTCCTGCCCCAGCCTCCCAAGTAGCTGGAATTACAGGCGCTCACTGCCACACCCAGCTAATTTTTGTATTTTTAGTAGAGATGGCGTTTCAGCATCTTGGCCAAGCTGGTCTTGAACTCCTGACCTCGTGATCCACACGTCTCAGCCTCCCAAAGTGCTGGAGACCTGAGCCACCACGCCCGGCCTTCAGCACAGAAATTAAGTTCAGTTACAGAAAATTAATAAGACTATATTTCTTGCCCCCACCCCCACCCCCGATTTGCACATGGAGCCTCACCTGCTTCTCACATCTTACAAGGAATAATCTAAAGGACTGAGCAGGCTTAGCCTGGAGCAGAGCAGCCAAGCAGCAAGACTGGCCCACTGCACCATCCAGAGAATCACCGTGTAAAAGAAAGCAGAGTACAGAGTTGCACAGCAGGTGCAGCGCGGCGGCTCACGCCTGTAATCCCAACACTTTGGGAGGCTGAGGTGAGCGGATCACCTGAGGTCAAGATTTCTAGATCAGCCTGGCCAACATGGTGAAACCCCGTCTCTACTAAAAATTAGCCGGGCATGTTGGCATGTGCCTGTAGTCCCAGCTACTTGGGAGGCTGAGGCAGGAGGATCGCTTGAACACAGGAGGTGGAAGCTGCAGTGAGTGAGCCAAGATCATGCCATTGCACTCCAGGCCCGGGAGGTATTGTTTCTGTGACAGGCTTCAGGTGTGCACATTGACAAGTCCTTCATCCTTGTGTAAGGACAAGCTAAAGTGTGTGCTGAGTAGGGATGTGTGTCTCGGCCTATGCCTGGCCCTCTGCCACCCTAGTCATGCACCCACCACCGAGCCAGGCACTGAGAAGGAAACAAACGAAGAAAGGAGGAGGAGAGAGACCAAAAAAACCCCAAGCAACCTCAAGCCCCTGCTAGAGACAGGAACAAACGCTGGTTCCCGCAGAACCCTGAGGCCCACACACCAGTGCTATAGCTAGAATGGATGCTCTGTCCTCTGATCAACCCCAGTCTAGGCCTGACCTGCTCCCAAATGCTTCAGACCCTGACCCTGGGCCTACCCTGTCTGGGGAAACTGAGGCTGTGTGCAAGGCCAGCCCAGCAGTGCTGCCACCACCACCAACCCCAGCCCCCACCACCAGCCAGCCTTTTCCCCTGCCCCCTGCCCACTCCATGAAGGGTATGTGGGCAGGAGGCCCTTGGGAATCACTTCTCTTGGCCCTCCCTCACCTGGTCCAGGCCAAGCTGCCTACATGGGAAGGAGAAGGTAAAACCCAGTGGGAGGCTCTGCCCACTCAGGCCCTGCTTCTGCTGGAAGTCCATGATGCAGTCCACAATGTGGTCAAAGAGCTGTGGGGCAGGACAGGTCAGGCGTAGGCACTGCTCAGCCCTTCCCCACCTCCGACACCAAGGTTCAGGCTGTGGGTACCTGCTGCCCAGAGCCCTGGGCCACACTCTCAGGAATGGAGTAGATCTGGCTGGTGATCTGCACACTTGTGGTCACACGTACCAGGAGGACACGGAAGTTCGTGCCCCCGAGGTCCAGGGCCAGGAAATCCCCTCGCTCTGTGGGGCAGAGACCCTCAGTGCCAGGATAGTGCTTGTGGCTCCAGCCCTAGCCCACACTGTGACCCCATGTTTCGGTCCCACACTCAGGCCAGGTCCTTACCGCTGCCGTCAGGCGTGGCCCGGACAAAAGTGGGCAGCATGCGAAGGGAGGAGGCCTCCCCTCGGAGCCCCTTGACCATGGCCTTCCGCATCTGTGCCTGAACCGCTGCCAGCTGATCGTGGTTTAACCGGAACGGGGCCAGGGTCTCCTCCAGCAGGCGCCGGTGGGCAGCCAGACGGGCAGCCACGGCAGTCACCATCGCCACTCCCCGGCCACCACCATCCGCAGAGGGGATGAAGGAGACATCGCATTCCGGGGCCAGGAGCATCACTGTCCCCTGCAGGATGCCGCAGAACCTATGGATACACACAGGTGCGCCCGGCTTGGCCCCGGACCCCCAGACACACACAGGTGCGCCCAGCTTGGCCCCGGACCCCCAGACACACACAGGTGCGCCCGGCTTTGGCCCCGGACCCCCAGACACACACAGGTGCGCCTGGCTTGGCCCCGGACCCCCAGACACACACAGGTGCGCCCGGCTTGGCCCTGGATCCCCAGACACATACAGGTGTGCCCAGCTTGGCCCCGGACCCCTCGGGCCTCCTGAAGCCCAAGGCCCCATCACTTTTTTCTTTTTTAAATTTTTCTAGATACTGAGTCTCACTCTGTCACCCAAGCTAGAGTGCCATGGAGTGATCGTGGCTTACTGCAACCTCAAACTCCCAGGCTCAAATGATCCTCCCACCTCAGCCTCCCAAAGTGTTGAGATTACAGGCGTGCACCACCATACCCAGCCTCCCCTATCACTTCAGTTCTAAATCTGTTCTGTGCACCAACCATAAGCCCTAATGTCCCCATGGCCTCCACCCTTGCACACACAAAGGGAAGCATTGTTTCTCTCCTTGGATGTCTTCTGGCCTCCCATAGCTCAGTCTGGCCCTCCCTCTGCCTAAGTGCCCTTCATGTCCACTGGCTTGCAGACGTGATCCCAGAGGACCCTCTGGGTGTGTATCACACACACGTGCTCATGCCACATAATCACGAGGATCATGTTTTCACAATACCTGGGGTGCCGCTCACACACTCGGCCTCCGGTGGCCACAGCGACCTGAAGGGTTTGTTGCTCCCGGCTGTGCTGGAGGTGGGAGAGAACAGCGGCCAGGGCGGCAGCACAGAGCTGGGCAGCCCGTGTGCATACGGCCGCGCACACGTGCTGCACAAGCTCAACATCCGAAGCCCCAGGGCTCAGGCCCAAGTCCTGCAGGATAGCACGGACACGGGCTGCCCCAGCAGAGGGGCTGGGGAGGAAAGAGAAGTGGTTTGGAGCTCAGCCCAGAAGCTCCCCATCCCACTAAAGCCCTATGGCTACCTTGGGGACAGAGTATCCTCCCCTTACCCCAAGCCAAGAATCCCCCAGTAAGCCACCATCTCCCCCACTCACTCCTCCATCTCAGCCACGTGTTCCAGGAGGATGCTGCCTCGACTCAGCAGGGCAGGGGAGGTGCCGCCACCAAAGAGGACCCCACGCTGGGCCAAGTGAGCCAGCACCAGCCGCACCAACTCACCCAGATACAGGCCTCCAATCATCTTCTCAAACCTGAAGGTGGAAAGGGTGGCTGGACAAAGCCTTTTCTAAGCCCTCAGTCCACCTCGTCCTACCTCCAAGCATTCCCAAAGAAGGATTCTTTTCTTTGGGGCTCCCAAATTGGAGACTCCAGAAGCAACGAATGGCCTCCCAGAGGACAGGTGGGTGTATGCCTAGACCCCATCGCCCCCTCTGACACAGGTTACATTCCGAAGCCTTGGGGAGAGGAAGAAGGCGGCAGAGAGCACTTTGCTCCGCCACTTCCAGCCCTCAACCCCCAACCTGTCAGGGCAGGGCAGAGTCAGGAATCGGGAGGACCAAGGGTTGACAATTCTGGGTTCTAGAACTTTGGGCCCTTCCTTCTTTGAACCTGGCCAGGGCCCCAGGTTGCTCCCTGGAGACCCTCAGAGTGACAGGGAGGGGCCTAAGGGCCTGAGAACAGGAACAGAAGGGGTTGGGAGCAGAGCATAGATAGGGCCTGGAACCAAAGGTCAGGGCCCCCCACCAGGGCACCTCTGAGCACCAGGATTCAGGGACTCATGGTCCAGGGTGTGGTCGAAGGTGGTCAGCACTGGCCCCAGCGCCCCAACATCACTGAAGGAGCCCCACTCGACGCTGACACAGACGCGGCCCCGGTCTTCATCCAACACTGCCACGTGCCGCGCCTCCTCCATGTAACATGCATTGGTGCCCGTGTCTGGCAGAGACGAACCTGTCAGGACCTGCTCGCCAGGCAGCACACCCTCCACCCGTCATCACAAATGGTCTGTGGCTCACCTACAACTAGCCCAACCTCACACGGCCTGGCTCCCAGCTCACAGCCCATCATGGTGCCCACTGTGTCGTTCACCACGGCAACCACGTCGATGTTGTAGGCCTGGATGATGGAGAGGGCAGAGGTCAAGGCTGGCCTGAGTGGTCAGAGCAGGGAATCCAAGGGATGGGCAGGGCTGGGGCCCTGGCTTTGGAAGAGACACAAAGAGTCCAGGAAACATATGTCTGCACGCCACACACATTTGTGCCACAGACGCTCTGGGCTTCCATTTTATAGGAGCTTTTCCTCCAATCTCACCCTCAGCTCCTCCCTAACCCCCAACTCGGGCCCCCAGGTCACAGTGACGTCCACCCTCAGCATCTCCCAGGACCAGGATGAGTTTCCTGAGACTGAGCACCTCCTTGAACACTGCACCTTCCCAGCCTCACTGTCATTCTGCCTGGCTCCCCAAGCCCGTTCCTCCCAGCACTGGCTTCTCGCCACAGAGGGTTAGTCCAGACGAACCAGCCTTTCTCCAGCATCCAGACTCTCGTGTGTGGCCTTCTCTGAGACTAGATCTTCTGCCCCAGTCCCAGCCTGACTTGAAGGAGGCAAACTCTTCCTTCAAGTCCCTGATCGAAGAGCCGGTGCTTCCTCTATAGTACTCCCAGAGTTGTCCACGCACTACTCCTTGACGCGGACAATTTTTTATTAGAATGTGTCCCCCTCTAGACTGTGAAAACCTTGAGGAGGAGGTCAAAGTCTGTTCATGTTTGTTTGTCCCGGGCCCTGAACATTTATTTGACCTTTCTTAGCCTCCGTGTGTTTTAACCTATACAATGGGAATGGGAGCAACATGTACCTGAGGTTAAACTGGATGGAGGACATGAAGAGAAAAGGAAAGCAGCTCTCCAGAAGCGCAGGCCCCACACATGTGTGCCAGGCCCAGGCCAGCGTGGGCCTCCCTCCCATCACCCCTCCCTCCACTCACCCCATGCCTCTGAATGGCGTCTCTCAGCAGCTGGACCACATCCTGCCCTTCCACACCACTGCACCTAAAACCTTTGGTCCAGGAAATGAGGGTGCTCTGGAGGTAGAGAAGCTGAGTTACTCCTCTGATGGCCTTCATGGGGCTGCAGCCCCCCCCGACCCAGCGTCCCATGTCCACTCCACCTCACCCTGTCCAGGCCCGTCTGGTGACAAGGGAAAGAGAAGCTGAAGCCAAGTTGCAGACCCTGTTTGCTCACAGGCTGCGCATCCAGGAACTCAGACAGGCAGTGGGCAGCAAAGTCAAAGAGCTGCAGGAGAGGTGGGGGCTCAGCCTTGCCCCTCTGAGCCCCAGCTGCCCAGCCAGGCTCCCAGACCCCAGACGCTGGGCAGAGAGTGCTTACCTGCTGGCCAGCACCCAGCATCACCTCTTGGGGGATCACAAACTCCTGGCTTCTGGGCTCCACCCTATGCCCCTCAATGCCAGTTAGAGTCACCCACAAAACACGCAGTGAGGCCCCTGTGGCCCCCAGCTCCAGCACCATGAAGTCTCCTTGCTCTAGAGGGCAAGCAGGTCACAGAAAGGCATGCAGCTGGCACGACCAGAGCCCTCTGCCCACCTCCCAAATTCCTAAGGCCTGCAAAGTCTGGTCAAGGGGCCATAGAGATGGGGGACAGTAATAAGGAACATTTCCCTCCCCTAGATCAGTACCCTCTTCCAGGCCTGGCCACGCATCTCAGTCTATGCTACCCACCAGTGCCATGTGGGGTGGAGCCCACGTATGTAGGCAGCATCCGGACTGCAGGGGCAGGGCTGGCCTGTCCCCTCAGCGCCTGCTCCATGGAACCCAAGAGGCTGGCTTGGATCTGCTGTAGCTGTGCCCTTGTCACCTTGAACTGCTGCAGGCACTCCTGCACCTGGGGAGAAACAGGCCAGCATCTGGGAAGGGGCACTGCTGGGCTAGCCAGACTCCCCAACTCCAACCAAGGCAGAGGCCTGCCCTGCCCAGCCCAGCCCGCTTCTCAGCTCTTCATACACCCTGGCTCTCTTGCCAACAGCCTGCACCCAGCTCTGGCCTCCTCAGAAGGCTCTGTCCTGGAAAGACAATCCACCTTCTTCCTCCTCCTGCCCCATTACCTCACGGCTCCTTCTCAACTCCCTGCATCCTCTACCCTACCCCCTTCTTCTTTGAATTCAGGGTTTGGCAAGACCTTCTTCCTGTCGTACTGCAGATGATTGCTCTCTGGTTCCCCAGGACCCACAGCAAGAGTCTCTCAGTGAGTTGTTGTTGAACGAACGAGAGAATAAACAAATGCACGAACGAACTTCAAGTGTTTCCCTCTCCTAACCCACTCTCAGACTCTGAAGCCTGAAAAGGCCCAGCACGAAAGCATTTGGAGAGCACAATGCAGAGGATGGTCCTTTATCCCTTCGGTCATCCTTCCTGAAACATTGCTCTAGCCCTCACCACGCACCCAGCTCTAATCTAAGCACTGCACACACATAACCACCCAAGAAGCAACAAATGCTTTAGATTCCAGGGTAGGAGATAGAAATTAAGCATATAAACATACAATTTGGTTCCAGTAGTGATGGTGGCTATTAAAGGTGGGGTGCAGGATAAGAAATTAGAGATTGACCAGGGTAGAAAGAGGTATTTTTAGATATGAGTCCAAGAGGGTTTCCCAGAGGAGGTGACCTAAATGAAGGAAGGGAACAAGCCATTTGAAGATCCAGGGGAAGAGCGAGGGGATGGATTTGGGGAAGACTGATGTGGGGGTGGATCAGAGTCTGAAGGGGCAGGTGAGAAGGCAAGGAAGGCAGAAGCCGGGACACCGCAGGCTCTCACTCCACCAGAAGCCCAGTAGCTTAAGAGCCCCAGGGACCTCATTCCTGTGAGCAAAACCCTCCCCTAGACGACTCTCACCCATCCTTCAAAGAAGCCCCGACAGCCTCCCTGGATTCATTGAAGGGTCACAGCCCAGCAACTCCATCCTCCTCCTCCTCAGGCTCAGACTTTCCAAAGCCTCCACTTCCTGTCACATGAGAGTTCTATTTCAATGACCTATTGCCCCAAACTGGACCCTTATCTGTGAAATAACAACTCAGGCACCTGGATAATAAGGCCCCTCCAGGGAGGAGAGGCTGGGAGGGAGGAGAGGCTGGGAGGAGAGGCTGCCGTTTGAGGGAGATAAGGACAGCTCAGTCCCACCTCTTGCTTTAGGAAGAGAATGGGAAATAGATCCCTAAGGAGGCAAATCATCCTAACTGGGGTGCCAGATGTCCACTTACACGTTCACCTTACAGCACATGCTTCCAACAGCCATGCATGCTAGGGGTGCCCATGCCCACTCTACCTCACCCTGACCAGGCCAGTCTGGTGACAAGGGAAAGAGAAGCTGAAGCAAAGCTACAGACCCTGTTTGCTCACAGGCTGTGCATCCAGGAACTCAGGCAGTGGGCAGCAAAGTCAAAGAGCTGCAGGACAGGCGGGGTCTCAGCCTTGCCCCTCTGAGCCCCAGCCACCCAAGTGTTAGAAACATGGAAACAGAGGCTCCAAGAGGGCAAATCAGCTGCCTGGCCCAGCAGCTGTGAAGAGGCAGGGGAGAATCTGAACCCATATCTGTCTGACTGCAGAGATGTTTCCACGTCAACGTGAAGCTTTATAAAACCTAGAAAGTTCCCTTGAAAAGAACCCAAGGCCGATGAAAGTTGCTGGAAAGAAACCCCAGACGATCTGGCTTGAGAAAACTTACACCTGGGTCCTCGCACTCCCTTTTTCTGGCTCTGTGGTCCTGGGAAAGTCCCACTCTCTCTGAGCCTCCGTCACCTCTTCGTGCAAAACTGAGAAAATAATAGTACTTGGAAGTCCCCCAGTGCCAGGGACTATGTCTTGCTCAAGGCTACATCTCAGGGCCACGAGGAGCACCAGCTGGGAGCAGGATTTGTTGATTGGATGGTTGTGGTGGCATGAGAATTAAAGGCTGTAATGTATGTGGAAGTGCCAAGTGCTGCTGGGATGGGAGGGGCGTTTTAGTATTGCTTCATGGAAACAATAGAGTCATGGAGAAGTCAATGGCTTGGGCAAATTGTTTTTCTTCCTTTTCCTCTTGGGCACATTGAGATGTTCAGGAGGAGAGACTAGAAGACAGCAGAACTGCAAGAAAGACAGGAGGACTTCCCTGGCAGATCCCGGCGAGGCACACACAAGCCAAGAGAAGGTATTGGAGCCACCTCCGACACCCCAGGAAGAGCGGGGAGAGACCTCTGCCAGAAGAGCAAGGAGAAAGGCAGTAGAGAGCGTGTGAAGTCCAGTGTGGTTTCAACTCTGGCTCTTGTCACCAACTTGCTGTGTTGCTGGCCTGGGCCCATCATCTCACCTCTCTGAGCAAGTGACCCCTCTATCTAACAGGAACAATAGTACCCACTTCCCAGAGGTGCCATGAGGATGGAGAAGACAGAAAACCGGAGGTGGAGGAACAGCGCCACACATAGGGAGATGCTCAGCGAAGCACAGGCTCCCTGTCCTCAGAGCACAAAGCACACCTGGCCTGGAGAGCCTGACTCCATACCTCTCTGATGACAAAGAGAAGCCTAGGGGAAGGGGTCGGGAAGGGCCTCTGAGATGGGGCTGGGAACTGACCACACGTGGTTAACTAACCTTTTTTCAACCTAAGGTCATAGCAAGGGGAGCACAGGGTAAGGCCTATGGTGCTGAGTTGGGAGTCCAGGACCATGGGAAATTTGGTGTCCCTGTGAAGTCTCCCAAAGCCAAAGGGAATTCTTTCAACCGCAGGTGTATGTGATGGAGCCAGCAGGGCAAACGTGGGCCTGCACAGGAGTGTCAGCAGGGAGGGGTGAGAAGTGAGGGAGGAGATGACAGCAGGCCCTAGAGCCAGTCCTGGCTGAGCAGGCACTGGGGCCCAGCTACTGCTCTCATTCCTGAGGCACGGCTGTGGGTTGGGCACAGAAGAACTGTCTGCAGCAGGGTCTGGGGCACTGGTTGGACAAGGGGGAAGTGGGAGCATGAAATGAAGCGAGGGGTAACACCCCCACAATCTGGGCAACAAGCCTAGTCAAGTGGATGTCAGAACATGCCAGAAAACTAAAGAAACCACAGACAATGACTCAAGAACCCTTTAGTGGGCACCTCCTCTATGCAAGTCCTGTTTATTTATTTATTTATTTATTTATTTATTTATTTACTTATTTATTCATTCATTCATTCATTTATTTTTAGACAGAATCTTGCTCTGTTGCCCAGGCTGGAGTGCAGTGGCACAATCCTGGCTCACTGCAAGCTCCGCCTCCTGGGTTCACACCATTCTCCTGCCTCAGCCTCCCGAGTAGCTGGGACTACAGGCACCCGCCACCACACCCAGCTAATTTTTTGTATTTTTTAGTAGAGATGGGGTTTCACCATGTTAGCCAGGATGGTCTCGATCTCCTGACCTTGTGATCTGCCTGCCTCGGCCTCCCAAAATGCTGGGATTACCAGCGTGAGCCACCGAGCCTGGCCTTTTTTTTTTTTTTTTTTTTAGATGGAGTTTTGCTCTTGTTGCCCAGGCTGGAGTGCAGTGCCACACTCTCAGCTCACTGCAACCTCTGCCTCCCAGGTTCAAGCGATTCTCCTGCCTCAGCCTCCTGAGTAGCTGGGATTACAAGCATGCACCACTATGCCTAGCTAATTTTGTATTTTTAGTAGAGACGGGGTTTCACCATGTTGACCAGACTGGTCTTGAACTCTTGAACCTCAGGTGATCCACTCGCCTTGGCCTCCCAAAGTGCTGAGATTACAGGCGTGAGCCACCGTGTCCAGCCATAGGCAAGTCCTTTATCTCCATTAGCCTTCCGGGGTGGGGAGTATTAGATTTTATTTTCCTCCATTTTCCTGATGAGGAAACAGAGACTAAGAGATAAGAAATGGCTTACAAAAGAGTTTCCTGCTCAAGGGTGTGGTATGAGACAACTTCTAAATCTTGGTCAAGATGACAGAAAAAGGAGAAACTCACTTCTGAGCAAGCCTCAGGCATGAGTTTGGCACTAAAATCATCTGTGTGCCTGATTATAGTGGCTACGTTGAGGGAAACATGCAAGAGGAACTGGAGAGGCGGGAAAGGTCTCAAGAACACAGCTTTTGACCAGATAATCCTTGGAAGGTCCACTCTAGACTGTGTCAACCCACTTGGGGAGGGAGCAGCACCTGTGTGGCAAGGTGGCAAAAGTGGTATGTTTGGAGTTGAAACACCTCAGCTCGAGCTCCTGTCATGTCTTAAACTCAAGTCATATCACTTCTCTATGTCCCTTTTCATCACCTGTAAGATGATCATCCCAACCTTGCAGTTGTTTTGGAGCCTGAAAAGAGATCATTTCCAGCTCAGATATTGAAAGCTTGGTGGAAAGGGGCTGCATGGGTGAGAGCCCAGGGCCCCATGGCAGCTTCAGTCATGCAGCTCTTGATGGCCTTGAACAAGCATGAAACAGGAACCCAGTGCTGAACTTACCAGCTCTGAGCTGTCTGAGGGCCCGGGCAAGCCCTCCTCAGGGTAACTCAGGGCTTCTTCCCCCTGTCGCAACCCTGCAGATCCAACGGAGTCCATGAGCTTCCACAGTGGAGGCTGGCCACCTACAGTAGAAAAGGGATAACCTGGGTCAACCATTTACTCTACAGGCCCTAGGAGTCTGTAACCCAGACCAGCTTCCTTCCTTCTGAAGGGGACCAGGAAGGAAGCTGGGAGCAGAATCTAGAACCTGCGACCATCAAAGATCCTATAGCAGTCAACCAGAAGGCCCTTGTTTTTCACAAGCATGTGAAACGAGAGAACACTGGAAAGGCTGATTTCAGTCCAAATGCTGTTCATTAATTCTGTCATTCATTGACATTCACCAGTTCCTGATGCCTGCTATGCTGGACGTTGTGGTACAGATGAAGCAGACCTAGGCCCTGCCCTCAGGGACCTCAGTCTCATCAACAATCACAGTATGATTAGCACAGGCAGTGGGTGAGATGGCCACATGTAATAGATGGACATGCTGCTGTGGTTGGGAGGTCAGGGACATGCTAGAGGCTTGGAACAAAGAAGGGAGCAAAGACCTGCCAGAGAGGCAGGCAGGCTGGACTAGGGACAGCCGTTGTGCCAGGCTAAGGCGTGTGAATTTCCTCCTGAAGGCAACAGGGGTCATGGACAGGGGTGGATCTGTGCTTCAGAAAGGGGTTTCACAAGTGATGTGACCTTGGGCAAGTCATTTATGACTTCTTTGAATTTCAGCTTCCATCCGTAAAACAGGAGGAAATAGTATCTACCCTCACAAGGTTGTTGTGAGCGCTAAATAGAGTTAACACCTGGGGAAATGCTTTATGAGATGTGATGTGCAACATAAACCAGGGGGGTTTTAACAGTGCAGTAATGCAGAGCAGAAAGAGCCCTGTGCTCAGAGGTGGGGATCCTGCTCTCCACAAGGCAGCTTCGCCGCATCTCTCAGCCTTGAGGCTTTTCATCTGTGAAATGGGACCAATATGTATTAAAGGGCTGTGTGGGGCACATGAGATCATGAGAGCAAAGGAACTTGCTCAGATGTGCATTCAGATTTATGTAGCTGAATCTGAACTGAAACTCTGTGAGTCTCCATTTCCTCTTCTAACATGGAAAGCTAAGTTCTTGGGAGGATTAAAGGAGTGAGTGGTCCTTTGCACACTGTAAAGAACTGTAGAAATGTCATACTTCGCTCATCCGAGCTGGAGGTGGTGTTGCTGTTCCCATAGTCCCAAGGGAGCCTTCAGTGAGTCAGGTGCTCTTTAGGGGTGGGGAAAAGGGAAACACAGTAGAGGGTCCAGTATGGGAAGAGACATCTGTCCACTGAGTCACTTTACCTCTCTTCCCTGCAATAGCAGAACTTCTGGAAACACAGTACCTTCCCACCCCTGCACTCCCCTCCTCGCCTACTCCCATTACACTCACTAATTTGCCCTCTCCACATGGTCACTCGTGACCTCCTAACTGCCCAATCCCAAGCCTTTTCCTCAGCCCCCACCTTTACTGCCCTCTCTCACATGCAAAGCCACTAGTCATTCTCTTTGCTACAGAATTCTCCCTGCCCTTAGCTTTCACAGCCAGTCTCTCCTAGGTCTCCTTCCTGAGTCTCTCATAGTCTTCATCAGTAATTTCTCTTCCTTCAGACAATGGGGTTCCCAAGTTTCTGGTCGTGCCCTTCCCCCACACTCCCTTTATCTCACCCATTCCCAAGGTTTCATTAATAGCTGTTTCAGGGCTCCCAAATCTACCTTTGGCCTCAGCCAAATCCTAAGTCCCAATGGTCTGTAAGACATCACTATCTGGATGGTGGAGAAGCTCCTCAAATTCAACAAAGCCATACTCATTTTTCCATCACCTTTCCCCCACAAAGCTCTTCTGTTCTCCACCTTGACTGGAGACATCGAAGTGTGCTCACTCACACGGCCATTTGGGTTGCCTGCATGCATCCCTGACCCTCACCTCCTCTATGTAATTGGATCTCAGGCTCTCTAAGAGCTCTCCTGGGCATCCCCTCCTCCCCATTCCCACAGCCACTGCACCAGACCATCCTCCAGCCTGATTATTACAACGGCCTCCTAACTGATACCTCTGCTTCTAGTTTCTTCACCTCTTTACCTCACCCAACTTGATCACCTCTGCACTCATGGCTGGCACGGGGTCTGGTATAGGTATGTGCTAATGTGCCTTTCTAAAATTGGAAGGAAGGGGAGTGGGTAGTTTTTTCTTATTTAATAAAGCAACAAATCAGCTTCTGATAAATCTCCCCGAAACCTTACATACCTATGCTGAGTTTCTGAATCTGCCAAATAGGGGTGTGGAATGCTTGTTCTATGCTACAGGTCTATTTCAAGGATAAAATGAGGTAACTGGGGCAATTACCTTTGAAAAGGACCAAGGGCTACACACGTGGCCTCCTTTCAAGGCCCAGCTAGTTCATTTATTCATTCCCTCACTCATTCATTCCCTCATCCATTCGATATTTATTCAGCATTTTTACATGACAAAATCTGTGACGTAATCCCCAAGTAGCCCTAATATTTATATGCTAGGTAAAGGTATTCAGCTCTGTCTCTTCCATCTGAGATTCCCTGTAGGGAGGGTCAAGTCTCCTTCACTGCAGTATCCACAGAGCCCAGGGTCTGTTTGACTAAGGGCCCTTTGGCTTCCCTTAGCTGAATGGGCTACGTGAAGTGAGTTTTCCTCCTGAAAAGTACCCCAGGGACCTCTGCTGATGTTGGGAGCTGCCATCAAGAACCAGCTGGCAGGTTGGGTGTGGTGGCTTGCACCTGTAATCCCAGCACTTCGGGAGGCTTAGGCGGGCAGATTGCTTGAGCCCAGGAATTTGAGACTAGCCTGGGCAACATGGCAAAATGTCATCGCTACAAAAAAAAAAATAACAAAAATTAGCTGGGTGTGGTCATGTGTGCCTGTAGTCTCAGGTACTCCAGAGGCTGAGGTGGGAGGATCACTTGAGCCCAGGAGATTGAGGCTGCAGTGAGCCGATTGTGCCACTGCACTCCAGTCTGGGTGACAGAGAGAGAGAACCCGTCTCAAAAACAAAGCAAGAGAACCAGCTGGCTTAATCTTTCCAGTGTCCACTTCCCCTGGCGTGCGCCAAACAGGAGGGATGAGGACAAGACGGTGCGGAAGGAGCAGGCAGTAATCAGACCGAGGCACTTACCTGGGACACACAGAAGCTGGCCACTCTCCTCAGGTCTGAGCTCTTGTCTGGCAATATGAGGCACCCCAATGACCAAAAGTGACACTCAGGGGTGACCTGAGTTATAATATCCTCAAGCCCCACCCTTTTCCTCCACCACCACTTACCAAACATCAGCTAATTCAGGAAGCTGCACTTCCTTCCAGGCCTGCCCTAAGAGTAGCCCAGGCTAGGCAAGGCTGTGGTGAAAACTTGAGCAAGATGATCACCGCAAAGTGGAGCCTTGAACTGGGTCTAAGGTTTTGGGCCATTCCCTCTACAATGCTGAGGGCTATTTATTTTGCAAATAAACTGAGTTTTGAGGTGGCGGCTCGCCCCTGGAAGGAGCTGGGCCTGGGAAGGTTATGGTAAGTACTTTTGAGCAAGAGGCAATGTGGGAGCACAAGAGGAAGGGGCTGACTCTGCAGAAAGTGGGCAGGGCTAGCTGAAGCAGCTGAGCCTTGAAGAAAGAACAGCAGTATGATGACAAAAGTGGTCCTTGACCAAGTGGAGAGCACGTACACAACCACAAATCACACACACATACAGGTGCCTTCATGGAATGAGGTGCAGCTCCAGGCGCCTGAAGAGGATACACCGAAGCGGGGATATATGGTGGGAGAGGAGGTGACAGGCAGACTGCAGAGTCTAGACTTTAGTCTGTAGGCTGAGCAGGGAGAGTAGGTTCACACGGTAGGTCTTCTTTACTGGAAGGAGAAGGGGAGTGTTAGGCTGCTGTGGAGCTATTGGCCAACAAACTGTTTCTCTGCGGAAATTTCCCCTCAAAGGCACAGAACCTTGGGGCACCAACGTAGAATACCAGACAGCCTGCAACAATCTTTGTTGAACGCATGGATACACTTTAAAGCTTCAGGCTGCCTTGTCAGCAGTAACTCTATCATTATCCACAGACAGTAGAAGACCTCCACATGACATCAGGATGGAGACCAGGGATAGTGGCTCCTCTATCAGTAGTGGCATGAAGAGGCCTGGAAACATGCCAAACATCAGTCCTGCTGTGAAGTTTACTGGGTACCAACCAGGCATATAGGCTGTGAAATGCAGGGAAGTGGGGGATGGGGTGCGGAGGATAGAGTGGCTGTCACAAACAACATAGCATCCCGCCTAGCCTGGGATCCCAGTCCCTCTCCACTTTGTTCAGTGGGGAGAGGAGAATGTGGAACTGAATATGAAAGGCCCAGCTGTGATTCATGCTGACAGCCTGCAATTTCTTGAGCCAGGGTGAGGATACGCCCCTGACAAGCATTGCCAGGGCTCTTCATCTGTGTTTCTGGAAGGTCTGTGTCCAGACCCCAGGAGCAGGGGTCCTGGTTCCCTAGTCAGAATGCCAGGGAAAGTCTGGGTCAAGGCCAGTGGAGGGAGAAGGATGGCTGAGCTTGAGGTCTGTGAGCAGCTGGGATAGCCTGGCTATAGCAGAGGCACTGCAGCTGCCAGCAGTTCTCTTCACACACCAGGTGGCCACTGACCAACAAAGGGAAGGACAAGTCCTCACAAGGTTCCCTCAGAGCCCCTTAGTGCCAATCTCCAACTGTGCAGATGGAGCTAAGGAATGAGGAACAACAGTTCGCTGGGGGAAAGGCGGGCACAAGCAGAGCACTGCCAGTGGGCTGGGAGGTCAGGCCTTCCCTCTGAGCTTGCTCACAGGCTTTTCTCCACTCACAGTGCCCCCAGCCAGGCATAGAGATCCTCAACAAGCTCCCCCAATTTGCTCCACACCCTTTATATCATGAATGTGCCTTGCAGCTCTCCTACACACATGGAGCTACTTCTGTTGTGTCTTTGTTTGCACTGACTTGTCTGGAATGACCCTCCCTTTGGCCTCTTCCACCTTTTCACCTTTTTCCTCATCCCTTAAATTATAATCAACGACAATGAGGAGCCCTTCCCTGAAAAGCTCCTCCTGGCCCTGACCCCATCTGAGTGTGGTCTGCTTATTGGTTCCGTATTATCTTGGATGTTCTTGTATCACTGCATTTATATGTTTATTAAAGGCATCTGTTTATGTGTTCATCTTCTCCATTGTACTGTGGGCTCCCAGAGAATGTTTCTTATTCACCCATGCAGCCTTAGACCTCAGTTCTGTGTCTGGTAAGGAACAAGTATCAGTAAATTTTTGTTAAATTGAAGAGCCCTCCCACAACCTCAACAGTCCAGGGCTGGCCAGGCATGGTGGCTCACTTTGGGAAGCCGAGGTGACCTCACTTGAGGTCGGGACTTCGTGACCAGCCTGGCCAACATGGTGAAACCCGTCTCTATTAAAAATTTAAAAACTAGCCAGGCGTGGTGGTGTGTACCTGTAATCCCAGCTACTCGGGAGGCTGAGGCAGGACAATTGCTTGAACCTGGGAGGCATGGGTTGCAGTGAGCTGAGATCACACCACTGCACTCCAGCCTGGGTGACAGAGCAAGACTTTGTCTCAAGAAAAAAAAAAAAAAGGTCCAGGTCTTTTGAAACTGACAGGAAATAAGTAACCTCTTACTGTCTTCCTGGGTGCATATGGTTTCAGCAGTCTTTCCACTAGTCTATCTTTCCACTGACAACTACAACCCTCTCATCCACTTACTACCTGCCTTCCCCTCCCCAAATTTCCATCTGCTAACAACTTAAGGCCAAAGCTACCCTGATTCGCAGGCAAAAATGAGCTCATCCAAACCTGAAATTTCTCTTAAGTCATTAGTTTTGTGACTGAAATGGGAAGTAGGAAGTAGTGTGGTATAGTACAGAGAGCTTCAGCTCTGGGGTTGGACAGACCTGGGTTCAAAATCCCATCCCATTACCAACTGAATGACCTTAGGCAAATTTCTTCATTCCTCTGAGCCTCGGTTTTCCCTGTATAACACATGGAGACTAATGTCTTCATAGGATTTGCTTTAGGTTAGGTAAACCCAGAAGCAGACCTAATTTGAATGCAAATAACTTTATTCGGGAAGTGATCCAGGACAGGGCCAGAATTAGGGCAATGCAAGTGATATGCCTAGAGTACAGAATGTAAAGAGACCCTCTCGGGATACAGGTGCCAACCTTGCACTTAGATGAACCCAAGCAAAAAGGCTCATCACCCTAGTCCCAGTCCTGATCCGGAAAACACGGAAGAGGAGCTGGAAGCCAGGTAGGAAGAGAAAGCCAATGAAGTGTACATAGTTGTTACTGGGAGCTTAGAGAGGTTCACTCCCACAGGGAACCCTGAGAAATAGGTAGAATGTGCCTTAGCGTTGTCCCTCACTGAGTGAGGAAGCTGGGGTATTTATCCTCCCCCTTCCACTGGCTGAGAGCTGCCCCAGGGGCACTAATTCCCTGGCACTCCCAGCTTATGTCAATACAAACCAAGAGGGTCCTCAGGCAGAGTTTCAGGTACTTACAACAGGACTCTGGGTATACAGCAGAATGGTGAATGCCTGGGGGAAATGGGCGAGGCACAACCTCTGCTGGGGCTACCATAAGGACTAAATGAAAAGCACAACTACAGTGCCTAACAAAGAGTAGTCCCCCTCTCTCTCTTCCAATTTTTTTTTTTTTTTTTTTTTTTTTTGAGACGGAGTCTCGCTCTGTCGCCCAGGCTGGAGTGCAGTGGCCAGATCTCAGCTCACTGCAAGCTCCGCCTCCCGGGTTCACACCATTCTCCTGCCTCAGCCTCCCGAGTAGTTGGGACTACAGGCGCCCGCCACCGCGCCCGGCTAGTTTTCTGTATTTTTTAGTAGAGACGGGGTTTCACCGTGTCAGCCAGGATGGTCTCGATCTCCTGACCTTGTGATCCGCCCGTCTCGGCCTCCCAAAGTGCTGGGATTACAGGCTTGAGCCACCGCGCCCGGCTTCTCTTCCAATTTATGGCAATAGCTTGTGAAGTTCATGGAGCTTCCCAGCTCTCCATGAGTTGGCAGCATCAGCAGAACAGCTGTTTCTCATCTTTCAGAAGTAAAAGAAATCCAGCGGCCCTAGGAAAGCTCTAGATGCCCAGGACCCAAGTTTTCTGTGGAAGCCTGATGGTTGATGAAGCCCAAGTAGTCCCTCCTGAGTACGCGCTCCTCTGAAAACTATCTCCTCTTGCATCTGCACCCCCGCCCCCATCCCTCCACCCCTTAGTGCAACATCATTTGTGACACATAGACTAGCATCACATTAATAACTGCTGCCACTAACTCATTCTTCTATGTGACGACATTGTGCTAAAACAAAGCTTTTATCCACATTATGGTAATCCTTAGAACCCTATGAGTATGATTTTTTCCCATTTGATGGACAAGGAAGCCAGGTCTCAGAGAGGTTAACTTTTATCAGAAGCAGGGTGCAGATGTAGGCTGATCTCACACATTTTCTACTTTGTCTCTTCACTCTTTCACTAATGCTCCTCTCACAGGATCACAGCATGGGGAGAAAAAACTGGGGGCACACAAGACGGTTGTAGGGAGGTGATGGGGGAAGCAGGTAGCTGTTCTTCCTTTGACTCCCCATTTAGCTAAAAATTAAGCCTATGGTTCCTGGTCTGGCTGATCCATACCCTCCTGCTGCTGACTCATGTTTTAGGGAGACTGCTCAATTTTAAGCTAAATAATTCACTTTCCAGAAGTACCCTTTTCCTTTTCTTATCTTCAGGCGAACAGATACACACACTATCCCCTGTTTATAGAGTGCTACCTCCAATAAATTGCCATTTAATGAGAGAAAACAAGCGAGAGTTAAGCTTATGGGACATAACTGATAAACTACTTTTCACTGGAAGAAAAACGGGAAAATAATCAATACTGGAGTCCAAACATGGCATTTTCTTCAGGAATGAAGAGTAGGGGCACTGTGGTTTCACTGCCATGGACAAAAAGTGGCTTATTTGTTCCCCTAAGCCTTTGTTTCCTCATCTGGGAATTGAGATGATAACACCTACCCCACAGGGTTGCTATGAGGATTAAATGAAGGCCACATACGTTGCCTGGACCATAGTAGTTGCTCAAAAAATAATAGCTATTTCTTATGTGATGCTAGCCACTAGGTCAGTGCCATCCAACAGCAAGACATTATCTATGGAAGGAAAAGACAGTGAGATTGCCATCTTGCCTTCTTCTAACCCAAAAGCTTGTGCACAAAGGGACCTAGGCAGGAACAAGGCCTTAATGTTTGTGCTGTGTCTTCCATCCCAGCTACGTGTAAACTCCCCAGTCTAACACATACCTCATTTTCATGTTAAAAGAAAACTTTGGACAAAATCAGAAGTTAGGAGAGTCTTCAATGTGCCTGTTAATCCTGTCCCAAGATCCTTTCCTGGTCAACAGCCACCTCCCCCAGTTTTTCATTACATCTTCAAATCAGTTTTGGCCAAAGCTAGCATTCTTCACATCCTTGTTTGGTCGTCGCCTTCAGGTAGCTGCTCCTGCCAACTGACATCCTCTCATGTTTGGAGTCTGTGTGTGGCACGCACTGAGAACAGACCACATCTCTGTTCTGCACTGGAAACTCCTAGGCAACATGGTGAGGAATGTGCACTATGTTAGTAATGTTACCAAAATAGAAGCCATGTCCTGTTGCTGCTAACCTTTGACATCAAGAGAACCAATCTTGATTTGAACAGATGAATATGCCTGGCATCCCCAATGGTTAATCTATTTAGAAAAAATAATTGCATAGGCATCTAATAACAGAGTTCACTTACACATTCCTGGGAAGAATGGCAGGACACATCCCTCAAAGGTTCTATGCTCAGGCTGAGAATACCACTGTGTGAGTACAAGATGAAGGGACAGGTCATTGAATGGCAGGGATGGCAGAATAGATAGTGGGAATCAATGCCCCTGGCACCTCCCAGAATTATGTCAGAAACAGTCAACGGAATAACCACACAGTGTTCAGAACTGTGCAGTACACATTAAGTGAATATATACATGGTATGTCAAGGATCAGTAATGGAATTCATTCAGCATGTGATTTATGAGTCTAATAAACTATCTCTACAATGAAAATATCCCCACCCCAAACCCTGCAACATGAAGGGAAAAAAATTAAAATTTCCATCTACTGAAATAAGATTTCATACAAACATAAATATATTTAAATTTTTAACTATAAGTGAATTCAAAAAAACTGTTATAAAACAGAATACTATACACAGTTGTCTGCATAGGTCATAAAAAACATAAAAACCAGAATGCGGAGTGGGTGCTGGTGGTGAAAACTGCAGGGCTAAAACTTACTCAACAATGAACAAGGGACCACTATGGCTTAATGAACATGGCCCACCCCTCCTACTAATGGCTTTGTCAACTTTTGGACCCTAGAAATTCAGAATTTTCTCCTTCTTCCTCTGCCAACTTTGGTCCGTGTCCGACGACCCGGCTGGACAGTAACTTGCTTTTTAAAGTCCACTAAGCAATCTGTGGCTTCTGAAATGGAAACAAAAGACTTGATGGGAGATTCATTTAAATCACGATGTGTGAAGGAACTCTGCATCTCTCTGCTGCAGCCTGCCTCTTCCATCCCTGGTGAGGGCACCCTAGAGAGAAGGAAAAAATTCAGATTCAATATACACCTACTAAGCATCAAGGACATGCTATGCCCTGTATCAGGGGATTATTAGTACAAATAATCTTTGTAATAATCCTACCACATATCATCACTCTGTTTTCACAGATGAGGTCACTGGGTAAATCAAAATCATATACTTAAAGTTGGCATTGAGAGAATGAGAATTCAGATCCAAATTCCCAAACTGCTTGAGAATCCAGGTCAGAAAACCAGGGTTGGATAGGGATAGAGAGGTAGAGAAGAATAAGACATAACTTTTACTCTGCTTGTTTTAACACAATGAATGAACTGAGCTATCTAATCTTTAGTTCAGATAAACGGGGAGCACAGTCATACTGAGAGAGAGGTCATAATAGTTCCACAGTGATTTCCACTGCCACAGTTTGAGTATCACACTACACACAGAACACAGGACAAGGCCTGCACTTTTCAGAAATCTGACAGCCACAATTCAGCGCACAATCCAATTCACCTGAAGGCTCCTGTTTCTGAAGACTTGATGTCTGCATCTGTGATACGAGAGAAAAAATAATAATGTTGGTAGTAGTGTTGGTAATCACACCACTTCTCACTGATCTTTTGCTTCCTGTGTTCTAGGCACTGCTTCTCATCAGGCCTATCCAGGTAGCACAGATCCCCAATCCCCTAAACCCACGGAATGTGAGTATTAGTGTCCAACAGACTCAGCTGCTGTGGCACTCAGAGAAACACTTCTGAATGAACAGCCTCTGAATAAATCGACTTCAATTCTAGACTTGAGGAACAAGGAAGTTGCCAAGGGAAATCTGCCACCTGCAGAGATTCACAAACTGGTGATCTAGAGACAGCAGGATATGAGGCTGGGAGAGGCTGCCTTTTTATAGTCATCAGAAGGCACAACAGACTTGCTTGGTGGGAATGAACTATTAGAACTAGATGGTAAGCACATCTCACCAGGCTTAAGCAAAAGCTCCTCTTCCATCCACATCTGGTGAATTTTAACAATAGCGACTAATAACAACAGTAATAACAGCAGCTAACATTTATCAAGAGCCTACTTATGCCAGGGAGTATGTTTGGAGCTTTACCAGATATAATTCTTGCAATCTATGAGGTTTAGTACTACTAACTCCCTGCAATGGTCTTAACCAATCCACTCTACTGCTCCCTAAATACTATGCACAAACCCTGAGGATTGCAGGTTGGGACACTAAGCCAAAGGTAACATATGAATGATGCACAAAACAATAGGAGGAAGCAATAACATCTGCATATCTAGTTTTCTGTGCTTGTTCCTTTAGGTATACTTGGGGCTTGTCATATTCCCCTGTGTTTTGATAGTATTTTTTCTGAGTTCAATAGGCAGTCATGATTCAAGGCTTTATAAAGCCTGAAATGAAACATAGGATGAATAAGACAGTATATTGCCCCATATTCCTTAAGGAGAGATGACTTAGATGGAGTCTCAAAGGCTGGCTGATTGGTTCACGTGTGTACCCAGAGAGTCCCAGCAAATAGTCAGGGGGCTGGCAACGGCTATCTTCATTGAAAGGCCTTAGGCAGAAGCCCAGAAAACTGGTCCTGGGGTCCTCACCTGAAGTCTTGTGCTCAGACTGTTCCAAGAAACTAAGGAGTCGGCCTTCACTGTGGCCTTTTTCCTGTAACAGAGAAAAAGAGATGAAAGGGTTACTTCACGGCAGAGTCTAAAATACAACTTCCACGGCCCAGATCACACGTGTTCATAGAAGAGAAAAGGTGTGGGGGCCACAGCTCTAGGGAAGTCTTCTGCATTCTAATAAATGAGGGTACACAAGTGAAAAAGCAAACTATAATGAAGAGAATACATCGTTATGCCAAGATTATCATGGATTTAAAACAGAAAATAAATTTTAAGGTAGCGCCTACAGGCAGTGATGCCAGAATAAACTGGCTATATAAGTAAGTGCCTACCTATAAACCTAACTCCAAATCTCCACCTCAAAATCACCCCATTCAGAGAGAGAGGTCTCTTTCTTCTGGCATGACAGACAATGGCTCCCCATTTTAGTGTGTACAGTGACTCCTTTGTCAGGAACCCTAGAATATGGAGCTGCTGCTTTATTTTTCATCTCTAAGCCAAGACTTGCTCTTCCTGATCTCTAATTACAAGGTCCAGAAAGTACATCCATCCTTCCCAGTGACCAGGGCCCAGACCCGGCAGCTTCCTAAGGAGTTCAACAGAGTTGATCTCACATATATTCTTGGCAGTGGGATTATAAACTGGATATCCTTTCTGGAAAGCAATTTGGCAGGTTTTGAGAGACTTTAAAATTCGTGTATCCACTGACCTAATAGTTCCATGTCAGAAAATGTATTCTAAGGAAATAATCAACGGTATAAAGACTGATTAATGTTTTAAATACAATCTTATAATACAAAAGAACCAAAATGTTCAATAATAGGTGAATGTTTAAATGACCATCTATGTGATATAAACATTAATAGTAATTTTTAAAAATAAAATCCAAAATGTTTACACTACACCTTAAGTTTTCATAAATGCAAGTGAGAAAACTACATATCAAGTACTATATAGAATACAGTATACATATAGTACTAGATATATAGTATGTTGTGTGTGTGCTTATTGTATATATATTGAGAGAGAGAAGGGGGGAGAGGGAGAACAGTGTCAATTACATTAACAACGCACAGAAAAAAAGACCAGAAGAAAATAGGCCAATACATTAAAAGTTATCATCTTTGAGTAGCTAAATTATGGGTGATGACTTCCCCTGATTATTTATATTTTTTTGAACTTTCCGTATTTTCTACAATGAACATGTATTACTTTTTAAATTAAAAGGAAAAATAATTTTAAAAAGCACAAATCTTGTTTCAAGATAAATAGAGGGAAGAGGGGAGGGAGAAGAAAAGTCCAGAACAGAACTGTGGTCTCTTACAACTGACAACCAGGAGGGTTAGGTAGCCTTTCCCAAAACACTCTACACATACCTTTGGGTTCCGCAGCCTCTGCTGCCGCTTCCCCTCCACAGTTGAACATGCTCTTCCACTCCCTTCAGGCCCATCTCCTTGGTCAGCCTTTGCAAGCTGGAGACAGGAGTCCACATGACACTGATACTCTCTAAATGGGACCAGGGATTTACAGAGATAACACTTCTCATTCCTAGCCAATAATAAAAAAGGAAGAAAACACAGTTTTAAGATGCGCTTTTGCCTCTGGGCCCCTGGATATGTCTCAAATTGTGTTTTTACATCCCAAAGTTATTCTGTGGAGGAGACATATCAACCAATGCAGATTCACTCAGCAGGATCACCAATAAAACTAACCCAACGTCAATCAAAAGGACTGAGTGATTAGCAGTTTTCCCTGGCTGTTTCTCTGTACCCTGCTGTTGCAGCAGTGGGATGGTAATGAAATCAGCTCTTCAAACTATCTCAAACAATGCTGATTGCTCTTCAGACATAAAATATTCTGTCAAACTCTTCCAAAATTAAGTGTAATAGTTTTTTCAAAGAGAAGTTAAAATTTCCACAGAAAAGGGAGCACCAAAAGCATTAAATTAAGTTGACATTTTTACCAGGGTGGATGAACTTGTCTGATTAGTAAATTAACTCTGTCTATATGCTGACTTCCTTAATTCTACAATCTGCAACATCAACTAAGAAGTTACTAAAAACCATGTGGTTCTGCCAGAGGCTTTTGCGTAATTCTGTATGCATAGCTATCTTTATCTTTTTAGAAGAGTAGAGTTTGGGAAAAGAGAGGAAAAGTAGGTCCTTGAGGTAAAGTTTACTGGGCATCAGTAAAAATGGAATCACTGGGGGTAAAAGAAAAAAATGAATATTTAGTAAGTATTTTCTCTGTGGTGAGAAACTGTGCAAGGCTCTTTAATCACAATTCTCAATTAATTATTCAGCTCCATTAGGACGGAACTAATCTAACTATGGTCTTATAGGTAATAACTGTCAGAAACTAGATCTGCCTGACTCATAAGATCACCTTAGTTTTAAGAAACTAAAAAAAATTTTCCAAAGCATGCTATCTTGGACATCTCTTTCTGGCCATAATGATGGCCAGATGGTTATTATTCAATAACTACAGCAAGGGAGACTTGGATTAGCTGTAAGGAAGACTTTTTCTGAAGATCTTTAAAATAGGAGAAATAAGTCTCTCAAATACTTAATTATCCAGAAGAATGCAAGCAAAATGCTGCCTTGTGAGAAAAGCTAGACTAATATACCTTTCAAGGTTTATCAATTAATGCAAAAAACATTTATTAATTCCCTACTATATGAGAGACAGAAGTACTGCATAAGAGGCAGGAGTGTTAGAGTCAGACAGGCTTTGTCACTTTTAGCTGCAGTGATCTTAACCAGTTACATATAATTTCTCTTTAGTTTCCTTATTTAAAAAACAAAAGAATAACTACCTTAAATCAACCACAGTGAGAGTAACAAACAAAGCACCTAGCACAATGATTGGCACATAATACTAGCACTAAACAAACAGCTATTATTGTTATTGTTGTCTCAGATACATTTTATTAGAAGCTGGGGATATAAACATGAATTAAGGCAAGTATTTGTCTCAAAAAACTCAGACTAACCAGGAATACAGAAATGTTCTTTAAAAAAAAAAAAAAAATTACTGCAATACAATGTGAGGAATTTCTAAACGAATGTCTACATTACAGTAAGATTCCAAAGGATCAGTTCTGCTCAACTAAATTAGGGAAGACAGCCCTGAAATTCAGGGGCTAAGATCTGTGTTTCAAAGATAAAAGTTTCTGCTTAGTAACTGCTTTAATCTACTGTTGGTAATGACTTTACTTTCAGATGGCAGCATCTACACCTGACCCCTTCCTCAGAATGAGCTTTCTCAGTCAAGCTACAACACACAACCAAAAAGTCTTCTATATTGCCCAACCTTTTGCAATTCAACTTCTGTACTATCATGTGAAATGCTCAATGCTTCCCAAAGAGCACCAAATAGCAATATGCAAATTAAAGAAAACAGAAACCTAAGAGCAATGTGGAAGTGGAGTGGGTGGCAGGATTGTTTTTAGTGTATTAAAAATGGATACAAAGGCCACCTACACTGACAGAGACTAGGAATAAGAAAAAGAAATTCAGGGCCGGGCGCGGGGGCTCACACTTGTGATCCCAGCACTTTGGGAGGCCGAGGTGGGCAGATCACCTGAGGTCAGGAGTTCGAGATAGCCTGACCAACATGGAGAAACCCCGCGTCTACTAAAAACACAAAATTAGTCAGGCGTGGTGGCGCATGCCTGTAATCCCAGCTACTTGGGAGGCTGAGGCAGGAGAATTGCTTGAACCCAGGAGGCGGAGGTTGTGGTGAGCCGAGATCATGCCATTGCACTCCAGCCTGGGCAAGAAGAGCGAAATTCCATCTCAAAAAAAAAAAAAAAAAAAAAAAAAAAGAGCGATTCAGGCATCCAAGCAATGAAGCCATTGGCAGGCCAAAGAAATACAGGGTCAGATGAGTAAGATAACAACTGATCTTTTTCTTCAGTCCACATGATGGCATGCTATACAGGAGCTCCGTGAATGCAGCACACCTACTTACTTGTCAATGTCTAGAGAAGTCTGAGCAGCTGTCCCACTGTCACTCTTGGTCTTGGCCTCTTTTTGTCTCCGAGTCAATACTTTTAATAAAAAAAATAAAATAAAATAAAACATATATATAATTAGCTGCCAGCAGACTCTGAATATAAAAGACAAAATGTATAGGAAGAAGCAAAGTTTAAAACCTTATCCCACTGGGAGAAATACATCGTTTGCGAAGTCTCATTCTTTCTAGCATTGAGAATAGCAATTGTAACATTTGCACCAAAACAAATGTTTTGACAATATTCTGTCCTCCACAAGATATTCCGCTATATGCTAAGCCATGAGATCTAAAGATCTACTCCACACCAAGAAAGGTTTTTGTGTACTATCCCAGCTTGCAGCACTCAAGGGAGGGATTTACACTTTCCCAAGCAAAATTCTATCTGGTATGACACATACTCAAGTGAGGTACTCTATGAAATATAGTAATGACAGCCACATCTGAGTGCCTACATAAGCTCCAATCTTTACAAAACTCTGAAAAGTTCTGCAATGAGAAAACTGTGGCTCAGAACAGTTAATACAACCAGTCTTTCTTCACTACACTAGTACCACCTCCCAATTCTAGTGGGTATAAATGGCTTTAGCCCAAATGACACACAAATATATTGTCTCTCACACCAAAAGACATCTGTTTATAAAATCAGTCTCTTAAAGGATCCTGGAGGTTATTTAATCAAGTGTTTTCCAGTTCATTCCTTGCATAACAAGAAAAACTACAACAATTTCACGTCAAACTCTACCTTCTTTCCTCCTAATACCTGAATCCCCACAACAGATAATTTAGCAGGGTTACGAGTAACTTAGGTTGTGAAGCATTTATCTAGTCCAGGGGTCAGCAAATTTTATCTGTGGAGACAGAGAGTAAATATTTTAGGCTTGGTAGGCCATATGGTCTCTGTCACAACTACTCAACTCTGTACTGTTAGCAGGAAAGCAGTCACAGACTATACATGAACAAATGGGTATGTTTCAATAAAACTTTATCTACAGTAACAGGTATCTGGCTAGATTTGGCCCATGGCTGGCCACCGTTTGCCTAACCTTCTAGATCAACCTCCTACTCATACAAAAATGCCTTCTATAAACATCCCTGACAAGTAATCATACGGTCTTGACTGTATTTTTTTTTTTCGAGACGGAATCTCACTCTTCTTGCTCAGGCTGGAGTGCAATGGTGTGATCTCAGCTCACTGCAACCTCCGCCTCCGGAGTTCAAGTGATTCTTCTGCCTCAGCCTCCTGAGTAGCTGGGATTACAGGCACCCACCACCATGCCCAGCTAATTTTTTGTATTTTTATTAGAGACGGGGTTTCACAATGTTAGCCAGGATGGTCTCGAACTCCTGACCTCAGGTGATCCACCTGCCTCAGCCTCCCAAAGTGCTGGGATTACAGACGTTAGTCACCGCGCCCGGCCAACTTGGCTGTATCTTTTAACTGAGGGAAATTCACTTCCTCCTAGGGAAATCCATTCTGTTGCAATCTGGCTCAATCTGCATTTACTGGAGACTATATAAATACATTTACCTGCCTTTCCACAAGTCAGCTCTTTGAACACTTAACAAAATCTTGGATTTACTCAGTTTTCTGTCCCTATTAAAATGGAACCATCATCAAAGGAAGAACTATACCTAGTTACTATGGCTATTCTATTAAGATTTGGATTGCCGAAACTCTGAATGCCTAGGTTAGCTCTAATCCTTACGATGCCCCTCCAGATTGGTATTATTACTTTTCCCCGGTTTTTTTTTTTTTTTTTTTTTTTGAGACGGAGTCTCGCTCTGTCCCCCAGGCTGGAGTGCAGTGGCCAGATCTCAGCTCACTGCAAGCTCCGCCTCCCGGGTTCACGCCATTCTCCTGCCTCAGCCTCCCAAGTAGCTGGGACTACAGGCGCCCGCCACCGCGCCCGGCTAGTTTTTTGTATTTTTTAGTAGAGACGGGGTTTCACCGTGTTAGCCAGGATGGTCTCGATCTGCTGACCTCGTGATCCACCCATCTCGGCCTCCCAAAGTGCTGGGATTACAGGCTTGAGCCACCGCGCCCAGCCTTTTCCCCGGTAAGAGGAATTGACTTCACCACACTATCACAACTACTAAATAGTAAAACCCAGGACAGAATCTAGATCTGATTCCTATACTTACGTTTTACCTTCCTAATTAACCTCTTTTAGATATACAATCCAATTTGTCAGTTTTTCTTAATATGTGTAGCACCCCAAACAGAATCCAATATTCAACAAACAATCCAACTAGTAAAGAGAACAGAAGAACCATGAGCTACCCCATGTGGACTCATATTCTACTGATTCAGTCAAGGCTGTGTTTGCTTTATTGACAATCCCGGCATACTACTGGCTTAAACTGAACTTAAAGGAAATTAAGATCCATCCCCTACCCTCCCAAATTATCTTCAAATAAAATGTTATCATCACTGGGCGCAGTGGCTCATGCCTGTAATCCGAACACTTTAGGAGGCTGAGGCGGGCGATCACTTGAGACCAGGAGCTCGAGAACAGCCTGGGCAACAGGGTGAAACCCCCGTCTCTACAAAAAAATATAAAAGTTAGCTAGCATGGTGGTGCTTGCCTGTAGTCCCAGCTACTCAGGAGGCTGAGGTGGGAGGATCAACTGAGCCAGGAGGGTTGAGGCTGCAGTGAGCTGAGACAGCGGCACTGCACTCCAGCCTAGGTGAAGAGCTAGACTGTCTCAAAAAATCAATACAATACAATACAATACAATACAATACAATACAATACAATACAATACAATACAATACAATACAATACAATACAATGTTACCAAGACAAGTCTCTTAATTCTGTACTTTGGTAACTAAGTTGCTGGGTATTTTTTTTCTCCCCTTAAACATAGGATTTTGTATTTGTCCCTGTTCTTTTCAGCTGAACGTTTCTATTTATTGAGATCATCTGCAGTCTTGATTCTGTCATCTGATGTTATTAGCTCTCTTTCTCAGCTGCATGTCATCTGCATAGATGACAATCACACTTTTTACATCTTCATCCAAGTCACCAGGGAAAAATGGTTGTAAAGGATATGGCCAAGGACAAAACTGTGACATGTTACCAGAGAAGTCTGTCTTCTCCCTGGTCCAACTTTTCTTTAAATAATTAAGCAAACATTTATTGACAATCTTCAATGTGCAGGTAATTTGGGGAGATACAGGAAATTATGAGGCACTGTCCTTGCTCTTAAGGAGAGTGCAGTTTACTAATGGAGACAGCATACACACTCAAATAACTACAACCCAAGGTGTAAAGAGATATGCATAATAAAACAAGATCACACACAAGCAACTAGTAACAGTGTTTGCCTCTGGGGAGGATGACAGGAATACTTAAGACTGGAAGAGGAAGGAGGCATACTTTTCACTGTATACTTTTTTGTAAATCAAATTAAAAATTAGAAGGGAGGAATCAGATTATATAGAGTCAGGCACAGATTAAATGATCTAAGGTTCCTTCCAATGCAGAGATTTTATAAGTAAAATTAAAGTACTGCAGGAGAAAAACATCCAGGACAGAACCAGCCTCAAATCCACCTCCTATTACATCAACCAGCCCATACTTCTCTATCTTACGCACAAGGACTTCATGAGAGATTTTATCAAGCGCCTTGCTGAAATCCATTCTTAAAAGGCTGGCACCTCAAAGATTACAGAATCCTTTAGGAGTTCTATTTTTTATTTTTCTTTTTCTACTTGTCCCCCATCTTGACTAGCATGTATTTTTCCAAAAGAAATACTTGGAAACCACTCCACAGATAGGGTTGGAAAAAGAATTAATTGATTCTAGTACTGTCTATATACCACTATTGCATTTAGTACATTTCTGTTCCTATTCATTTATATGTCAGTTTTCCTTCTATACCATGCAACTTTCTGAATTCAGAGACTCTGGGTTTTATTTTGTTTCGTTTTTTTGTTTTTTTGGTTTTTTTTTTTCCTCTTCAGCATCCTCAGCAGAGTCTAGGACAGATTAAATGCTAATAAATACTTGCTGAATTAGTATCAATAGATTCTAGGGGAAAAAAGAGTTCTTGTTTTATGAGGACCTACTCTGTGCCAGAGACTTTATAAACATAATCTCTATCTTTACAACAACCCTACAAAGAATATATCATTATTTCTATTTTATAGTAAATACATATATATATTTTTTTAGCCATATCTTGCTCTGTGGCCTAGGCTGGAGTGCAGTGGCATGATATTGGCTCACTGCAACCGCTGCCTCCCGGGTTCAAGCGATTCTCCTGCCTCAACCTCCTGAGTAGCTGGGATTACAGGCGCCTGCCACCACGCCTTGCTAATTTTTATATTTTTAGTAGAGATGGGTTTCACCATGTTGGCCAGGCTGGTCTTGAACTCCTGACCTCGTGATCCACCCACCTCGGCCTCCCAAAGTGCTGGGATTACAGGCGTGAGCCACTGTGCCTGGCTGTAAATGAAATATTAAGTAACCTGATCAAGGTCACAAAACAAAAGCAAAACAAAACAAAACAAAAAAGCACAAGGAATGCAATACAAATCTGACCACAGAAGCATATGTTCTTCTACAAGAGCATGCTGCCTCTCCTGGAAAATAAGAAGCTAAAGAATGGGAAGAGAAAAGGTGGTAAGTGGTAAATGAGGGGGCAGGTAGAAGAGAATTTGAAGGGAGAGACTTGATATTGATAGATGGTTAGGACTATACGGTAATTCTATTAAATGTTATGATCACAACGGACTGGACTGGGGCTTGCTGCTGTTTTTCCTTTGAAACCTACTGCCCCTACAAAAGAGCACAGAAGTGCATGTAGGTTGCTCTGAAGGAGCACTTGTGGTTTATGAGGGTTGAGAGAGCTATTTAAACTAGCTACAGGCAGAGAATTCATTATGAAACACATATCCAAAAACCAAACTGCTGATGACAGCAGCCACAGATTTCAAAAGAGAACAACTCAGGGGTCTGAGTACGACTATCAAGGAAAGGTAGAAGAGAACAGGTATCACTGAAAGCTGAGAAAGACGACAATAAA